TCTGGGTTTAGTAAGCATAACCCCCTTGTGCGTCTCTCCTCCCCCCCCCCCCTTCCCCCCCCCCCCCCAAAAAAAATATTTTGTGCAGACAACTCTGGCAGCCTGTTGGTTATCTTAGAATGAGCGCTTCTAGTGACAGCAGTATATCAAAGAAGTGAGGTGACCTCATAAGGACTACATTGGCTGTCACTCCAAACTTTATTGGATTTAACCAGTACTTCAAATTTCATTTGAGAATTTAGTAGTTGTATAGATGTGGAAATAAAGGTATTGTGGAGAATTGCCTAAAAGGTGGGGCAGTTATATTCTGTACTGTGTTTAGTTTTGGATGCTTCAGCAGGCACTTTTCTCTAGAGCTGATTAGGTTAGTCTTGTATGGTATTTAGCTTTATTGGTATGTGGGGGGTGGAAAAAAAGTGGCAGTCATCTACCCAAGCCTTCAGGAATAGTAGATAGGTGACTGGTAAGCCTGCAGTGCATAGACTTCTTTGCTGAGGTAGTAAACCATGCAGTATTTCTTTTACATTATTTATCTATCTATTTATCTGTTCATTCATTCATTTATTAGTTTAGTGAAACTGTAAGTCTCTCTTGGATAGCTGTGCCTGAAGTTGGCCTCCCTGATTATGGCACAAGGTCTTAGTATCTGTGTATGCAACTAAATACATGTATTTGGAATGGCTTTGGGATGTACCCCATGAAATTACTTCATTCCTTACTATTTTACACAAACTAAAAAAACAAAAATAAACTTGCAATACAGGACCAGATCTCTCTTACTCTCATGTGAGCATGAAGGGGATGTGACCCCTTGACAGGGTCCCTCCCAGGCCTTCTTTGGGGTCCTGTTCAACTGAGGCCTGTCTACTGGAGTGATGCCCTGTAAGGACATAGAAAGCAAGTAGCTTTATGGTTGCAGTAGGCCAGGGAATGATGATATAGGCAGAGTCTTTATAGTTGGATCATATCTCTATGGTTAAACCTAATATTCTTCACTCACACTTTGTATCTTTCAGTGAAAATGGAAAACTGAAGCAGCCTTCTGGGAAGGTGTCAAATTCAGTGTCCCACATGGGCTGGGAGAGTCCTAACAGATTTGTAGACCTAAGTGTTATGTAGACAGATAACTCTATCAACCAGTCACAAATCTGGATTGAATTACAGTATTTGAAGTGGAGTGCTTATAGGAGGCATCAGAGCTTTTCATTCTGGGGAATTTAGCTGTGGTATAAGAACACACAGAGGACCCCTTATGGCATGCCATATATGTTTAATGAGTCATTGCCTGCCTAGGGGGTTTATGTTCTATGCTGACAAAGGGGAAAAAATGATGCACGTAGAGAATAACTTTATTTTTAACTCAAGTTTTACTAGGATGTTTGTATGACCATGGTGAAACGTCAGAGTTTGCCCAGTGTCTTAATGCTGAGCTCATCCTTCCTCTTCGCATCCAACTATATTCTTGTCTGCTTTTTCTGAACTTTCCTAAGCTTAAGTTGTTGATATTTGCAGGTGATAATTTTGATTGCTCTTAAGAATATTATGTTAATTTCCTATATACAACTGCGATGTCACCCTACACAGACTGAACACTGATGTCCACAGTGACATGAGGTAATAAGCTGAATTGCTGATTTTAATTTCTTTTTAAAAAATACATGTAAGGCTTTCCATTTGTGTTTAGTCTGCTTTAGGGAGGGAAACTTTTTTTTTTCTTTTTTCCCCCTCCTGTTACTTAAGCAGCTTTTTGTTCACTTTGTATTCAGGAGACAGCTACAGTTATGGATCTTAAATATATTTACTCCACATTGGTACATATTTCTTGGGCAATGTTAAGTTTTTGAAGGATTGTGACTTCCTAAGTGCAATACTTTTACATTAAAATGTGGAACTGTCAGGAAAAAATGCTTTCTGTTAATGTGATGCGTTTCACTTTGCATGTGTTTCAGAATTATTTTTGTAAAACATCAGTGATTCTATACTGCAAAGTATTGAGTGGATCTGGAGTTACATTTTTTAAATTAAATATTGAAAAGATGTAGTTGAAATCTTTTTGTTTTTTGTACATTGGGGTATATGGAATACAGCTGGTACAAATCAAAGTTGTCTGTGCAGGAGTCTGTGTGTAATGCCCTAGAAATGATTAAACCAGTGCTGAGTCAGGTAAAAGGAACTGCTGGTGGAATCCTCATCAAATTCCACTTGTTGGGATTCAATTTGGAAGAAAAAAGTAGCCTTTAGAATGGCAGGTTAGGATGCTGAAGCGTGATAAGGTGGCACATGAGGAGTAAAACAGAGACCGAAGAAATGTGTTAGTTGTTAAAAGTGTAGCCAGTGACATACTTTAACCGAATAGGAAAATTTGTGGGAGAGAAGATCATACAGGCTTATCAAGTGAATGACAGGAGTTGGCTGTATATTAGAAATGATCATGGTATGTTGCAATCAAATACTGAACTTTCATAAAGTTCAGAACAATTATTTTGTAACAGTAATGATTGAAGAGAACTTGAAGGAGGAGCATATGTTAAACTGTGGCTGGATTGATGGCATAAAGGAGAAGGAAGATACTGAAGTGGCACTTGAGAAAATAGAAATAAAGGAGGCTAATTTTGAATTGTGTCAAAGCACTCTTGCACAAGCTAGAACATGCATATGTTTAGAAAGGCTATAATAAGCGAGGTTGCTGTACTATAAAGGAAAAGGAAAGTGTATAAGCTTCACTGTGGAAATGAAGATGCTTAAGTAGATGGCACGTTCTTTAATAGGGAAGAATAATAGTGTATAATGCATATTGCTTCAAAGAGTGAGAGAGGTTAAGCAATGTTGGTATGGGCCTTTCTGTCATTTCTTAAAGTGACAGGAAATAAAATGACCCTGAAGGTGCATGGACAGGGTATTGATGGATCTTAGAAAGATCCAAGACACATGACTACTTGGCAAACGACAGTCTGTGGCAAAAGGTTGTAAAAGTCACTGACGTCTAAAACAGGGAGTAAGAAAACAGGTTTCTTTGTCTTCTAACACTTCTATGTTCTAAATGCACAACAGTTTCCTAAGCCTGAGATGTAAGGAAACAAAATGCACTTTGGGATTTATACAGATTAGAACGTGAACATGTCATATGGAACTGGACCATGTGTCTTGCGAACTTCTGCTGTTTCAGAGGAAGAAGGCTACATGATCTAACCCAAATTCATCCAACCAGTTGCTCTGTATAATGCAGAGGTGGGCAATTATTTGGGCTGGAAGGTCTCTTTCAACCCAAATTTTTTATGATTCTATGAATGAAACAAGATTAGCAGGAATCAAGTAGATTACACTTAGCCATGAAGCCATTTGACACCCTCAGCGCTGCCTGAGTAGAAAAGCCAGTGCCCTTCCCTGGTAGTTGATTCCAAAGTTTGGCTAGGACAGTGTGGCAGGGCACTGTCTGTGCCTGCCACTTTAAGGGCCAGAAGCCAGCAGCCGGCGGGTGCCTGATGAGGGCAGCCATTTTAGATTCAGGGCTGCCCATATAAACAGGGCATTTTCTGCTGGGAGGCCAGGCAACAACATCGCCTGGCTGCAGGGCTGCTGGTATCATCTGGAGGTAAGGGAGGAGCTGTAGGGGATGGTCAGGAGGCTCCTGGTCCTGGGCATGACCTAAAACTGCACCTTGCAGGGAGTGGGTGGCTTGGTGGGGCTCTCAGTGGTGTGGGAGCCCCCAGGAAATGCCAGGCCAGTTACCACCCTGGTGAAAGGCGGGTCAGGGCACCTTAACCCCTAGCCCCCACAACCGGGTGGGTTACCCCCTTTTGTAGGGTCTGGAAGGTGGACCCCAGTGAGAGAGTGGGGCCATAGACTCACACCTGTCTGGATATCCCCTGACTGGTCCACGCTGGGGCCAGGACCGGAAGGGTCGAAGGGCCAGGGGCCCACCACGAGGAACGCCCAAGAGCTGAGGGCCTGGGATTCCGACTGGCCTGGAGGTGGGCCAGGGCTAGTGAGCCAAAGGTCCTGGGGGTACCACACTTGTAAGGGGGAAACAGTTCAGGGAGCTATGCTGCCCAGGATGAAGGTGGAATAGGCCGCCTGAGGAGAGGAATCCAGGCGGGGTTCAACTAGTACGATTCTGGGGTCCAGTGTGGGGCTTGTGATGGTGATAACATCTGGATGACATCTGCTAGGCTTGGGCTGCGGTGTAGGGGAGGAACAGAGACGC